TATACTATGTTACAAGTTTATTAGTGATGAACATAACAGAAGTAGTGATCAGAGGTGCCACAATGTTGGATTTGCAGTTTTCAGTACATCACGCCTGGGGGATGGCTGTTATCAAAGCACAAGCAATAACAAACTTGTTGGCAAGGATGTGGGTAAAAGGGAATTCTTGCTCTCTGTTGGTAGGACTGTACATTGGTGCAGCCTCTGTGGAAAAAAGTATCAATGTTTCCACAAAACGTTAAAAATTAAACCTCCATAAGATTCAGCAGTCCCACTTTTGGTTATATACCCAAAGCAAATGAAATCAGGATCTCAGAGAGACCTCTGCACTCAGCATTATTAATAGCCAAGGTCTACAACTAACCCAAGTGTCTGAATATAATTGAATATATACGTGAAATATTTTATATAGAGAGAATAGAATATTTTTCTGCTATGATAAAGAAGAAAATCTGTCATTTGCAACAACATGTGTGAATGTGGAGGACCTTATGTTGATGAAACAAGCCAGACTGGGAAACATGAATATTGTATGATCTCACTAATCTGTGGAATCTTTTAAAAAAAATTGAACCTTTAAAAGCAAAGAGTAGAAAAGCAGTTACCAGAAACTGGTAGGGTGGGGGATATGGGGAAATGCTGGTCAAATGGTACAGAGTTGTATGTAGGATGAGTAAGTCCACAGCTCTACTGTGCCAGCATGAAGACTGTAGTTAATAATACTGTATTGAATATTGTAAATAGTCTAAGAATAGATTCAAGATGCACTCATCATAGAAAAAGTGTTAACTATATGTAAGGTCACATGTTAATTAGTGTAACTAGTAATCATTTCACTATTTTCATGTATATCAAATCATGTTATATGTCTTAGTACTATTTTTTAAATGTATAAATTATAAAAAGTGAAATATGGCTAGTTGGAATTAACATCTGCCATCATTTTGTATTACTGCCTTGTACACCCATCTCCTTTGTAATTGAAAGCCAGTTGATGTGGGCAGCCAAGAAATTAGCATAGCGCAAAAGTCAGGTAGCTAGCTTACTTTTATTCTATGACAATTTTCTGCGAGTTTTTCCCCTGCTTGTTTCTTCTTAATAAACCTCTAAGATGATTTTTTGTAATATAATTAGAAATTAGAAATCAATGCTCATATAAGATCAATCACAATGGAAAGTATTACTGAAATTAAAATACAGGTGAAGGAGAAAATAATTCAGAATGTACATTTTGGAATTTTTGCTGAGCTTTGAAGATAATGTTAACAGGAGGCAAAGTACCCTTGTATTGACTGTGCAGCCATGTGTTAAATGAGAAAAGTATCATATTTTAATTCTGAAGATTAACTTTTTTTGAAAACTAGTGATCTTTTAAAAGCAGTCTAATTAGATTCTTCACTTAAGCAATCTAGGCTAGAAAGATCATTATATTAAGAAAAATGTTTGAACTTGGTTTTATCTGCAAATCAAGGGCCATTTTTAATGTGATATTTAATTACTGTAACCATTTTTGATCACTTTAATATCATCTTTGAAAATTTCTGTGCATTTTAAAAGGCAGTAGACATAAAGAGGCTTAGGTATCCACTGTACCTATTATCACCAGTAACATCCCAAATTACATTGTTGACATTATCCTAGCGTAAGTATCTTTACCTTGTTAGCTTAGATTGTTAGGGTCCACTTCAAGAAGGGTACTTGAAATTTGTGCAGTTGAGATTTTTTTTTTTTGCACCTCTCCAGGCAATGTGTAGATCCTCCCTGCACCCTGGTGTCCACTCCAACCTGACAGCCATTTCAGATGTCCCTATGAACATCTCATGTAAGTCAACACCCCATTTATTTGGCTTTCTTTCCCTAGATTCTGGATCAAAATACATCTGTCCTGTATACTTGTAAATCCATTCACTATCCTAAAGGATTTGAATGCATAGTGGGTATCCCTTCTTAAGCAACACATAGTTTTTATCAGCATCAGCATCACTTGGGAATTTATTAGAAATGTACAACCTCAGTTTTTACCCCAGACCTTTGAATCAGAATCTGCATTTTATAATGCATCCCCTAGTGATTTCTGAGCATATTAAAGTTTCACAAGTATTGCCTTAAAGAAGAGACAGCCTTCATTCTGAAATATTTTCAGACATTTTAATCTACATTTGCTAATTTTTGGCATTAGGTTGTTGATACTTTTTATTACTTTTTTAATATATGAAGGCCCTGTAATGACATGCAATTTAAAAAACTCTGGATTTTGCCCATTGATATTTTCTTGCTAATTCTTTTTTCTACTGATTTCTAAATTGATATTGTTATGGTCAGATAATACACTTTATATTATTTTGATACTTTGATGTTTATAGAGTTCTGTTTTATGACCCAGCATTTTTGGTCTATCTTGAAGAACGTTTCATATGCATTTGAAAATAATCTGACTTGTTTGACAAGGAATATTTTTTCTAGTATTTGATTTGTATTTTCTTTGCTGTGTTTTGAGATACACAGTTACAGAGTCCAAACTCATTCTGCTCACCACACGACAGGCCAATAAATCGGGAGACGAGGTGCTGGGGCAAGGAATAACGACTTTATTCGGAAAGCTGGCACACTGAGATGGCAGACTAATGTCCTGGAGAACCATCTTACTCAAGTCACAGTTCAGGCTCCTTTTAGACTAAAAAAGGACGGGATTCGGTTGATTGTTGCAAACTTCTTGGTGTAGGAATTCTTTGTCTTTAGAATCCTTTATTCTTACAACTGTCCACATGGGTCAGGTCATGGTACCCCTGTAAAACCTCCGATAAAACAAGTGTTTTCTATTCTGCAACTTACTATCTTTATTTGAGTGCAACAGTGTTAATATCCTTAAAGGTCAGAGCCTTGAGAAATAGGTACATTTAAGGATGGAAGCAACATTCTTTTACAAAAGGTGCAGAGCTAGCAAGACTAACCCTAGAAAACAGGGCACAGGGTTAAAGCCAAAGAACTAGACCTAATATGGAATCAGATTTGTTCTTCTCTATTACAGTTCCCCACTGTCAATATCCATTCCACAATCTTGAGGGAAAAGAGATGACAACCGTTCTGGCTACTTCCTGCTGAACAGGGGCAATGAGGGGGTGATTATGGAATGGAATTCATCAGCCTTGGACAGGGAACATTCCTTAGCTTAGAATCTTTAGTCAGTAGTATAATCTTTTTTTTTCTTTTTTTCTGTTTTTACAACTACTTGAACCTGATAAAAATCTATAGTATTTTGTTGAACTTGGAAGTTTTGGTTCCAGTTTCCAATACATACCTATTAATACTAACTTTTTACTGTACCATAATTACACTAGATTCCTGTGCTATTCGCTTAGACAAGATTAAACAATGAAGCTATAATCTCAATACTTACTCCTTAAAAAAGGTAACTTTAAGTCTTCTAAGGGTTCACAAAACTCTCATTCCCCAAGCCTCTCAGGAGTTGGGTCATTTTCTGATTCTGATGATGGTGGTGCTACTTTAGTCCACGGCTTTCCCCCAGCTAACCTGACAGACAAGCGCATGGTAAGTAACACCACGTGTGGTCCTGTCCACCTTGCAGTCGTCTCACATTCAGGCCCTTGTTTCCTCTGGTTTTAGCAGGACTCAATCTCCAGGTCAGAAAGGATGTTAGACTACTGCAGTTAGGTAGGCAGACCTGTTGGAGGCAGACTTATGAACAGAGGTTAGTAGAGTGCCCAGAGTTTTGACATGATGGCAACTACTAGGTCTTGTAGAGCATTTACAGATTCTCTTGCCCAGGGAGACACCTGGAACGGCCTACCATACGATATTTCACAGGGGCTTAATTTAAGCCTGCTTCTGGGAGCCACTCTGCTCCATAGCAGGGCAACTGGTAAGGCTTTATCCCAAGTTAAATTACTGCCAACTTATTTTAGCAATACTCCTTTTTAGTGTACAATTCCTTTCCTCCATTTTTCCTGCTGATTGTGCTCTCCAGGGTGAATGTAGTTTCCAGTTAATGTGCAATATTTTAGAAACTTGCTGGGCTATGCTAGAGCAGCGTGTTACCACTTTGAAGACTATTAGGCAGGCCAGATTGAGGGATAATTTCTTTACAGAAGGCTTTAACCACTTCAGACTGTGTCCAGTATTTCTATAGCATTTGTAACCTTCGTTTCCCTGCCTGGATAAATGCCTGTGAAAGCTCAACAAAGAAAAACGTTCAGCCTTCGTGTTACTGCAGGTTAGGCCACCCGAAAGACAAAGCCAAGAGTTAACATTAAGCCATGGCCCAGGGTTTCACGCAACCCAACAACATAGTATACAGTGAAGTTGTTAGAAAATATGGGCCTTTCTGAATCTATATTGCATGTTTAATTTAAGTTGGAAAATATAGTTCAGATCATTTGAAACATTAATTTCATGTTTTCAGATTAGCTGTATCTTACAGAATATTAGCTAGGGTCTTTATGTTGGCTGAAATGCAAAAATATGATTAATTTCTCAATAACAGATTAGTTAAAAATACTTTCCATTGACAGCAGTGCCAGTCCTAGAACAAAATATAAGCGAAATGTATTTGTAAGTCATTTGTCTTTCAGTGCCCCAAATATGCAGGTCCTGACACTAAGCCCTTAATATGCGTCTGCAAGATGACTGAAGGGAAAGCACACCTGTCTGCAAAACTGTACTTTAAAAATAGTCAAAATTTGCTTTCAAAATTTAAGTAAACACTGCATATTTGATTTGAACTAAACTTATAGTTAAATTAACTTATGACACATTGGATCATAACCACTACATATGTAAAAGGATTTTTTAAAAAGTCCGTAGCAAAGATGAAACGAAACTCCGTGAGCAGTGCGCGCCGAGTAACCCCTCGCTGCAGCTGCTTCCTGGCTTGGCACAGTGACAGTGGTCACAGACCTCCGGTATGGAATTTTCAAGTAAATACCCAAGTAAAACCAAAGCTCATATCCAGTTTGTTTTTAATGGCAATGACAAGACTTGAAATTCAACTATATTTTCCTTAAATATCACATTCAAGTGTCTGAAGGACAAAGACAGTAAATTTGACAGGGCTGCATTTCGGCCATTGTCTCCCCATATAGTTGATAGCCTGCCTCTTTGGTATTTCAACTGGTATCGAGTAGTGCTCTCTTGGATTCCCATACCACTTGTCCCCCCCTGTCAGAGTTACCCGGGGCTCCTGTGGGGAAACTGGAATTGGGTGCCCCAAATCCAAGGGAGCCTCTGGGCCTCGTCATCTATCAGAGTGTTCCTCTTTTTTTCCCATGTGACTGGCTCCTATCCTTTTTAATTGTTTTCCTGGATCGGATGCATAATTATGTAAAATGAACGTGTTGATGGGTAGACTTATGTGTCCCAGAAAAGTAAAAGGCACTGCATAGACAAAGGACTGATACCAGAAGCCACCTAAAGGAAACCCTAGCATGCATCCCAGACCAGAAAAAGTGTCAAGACCTGCCAACACTGTAGCCACAGTATTTGGAAATGCTTTTGGAAGGATAGAAGATGATGCAGTTTTTGCTGCAGCAAAACTTACTGAACTAGTTATTCTCATTAGAAAACACATTGCAATAAACACTGGTCCTTTTGGACCTTGTTCCAATGCACCAAAGAGAACTGCAGTTCCTCCTGAGACAAACATTCCTGTTACAAACAAATTGTGCTCCAATACGTACACGGTGTTTTCCAGATACTAAAGATGCCAGCAAGTCCGACAAAGCATAACATCCAAAAATCGTACCAATAATTGCATGGCTGGTGCCTTTCTTTTCAGCCTTCTTGAGGAAGAAGGGTCCAATGATAAAACACATCATAGAATCTAAGTTGATGGAAGCTGCTGATAGCAATACAAAAGTCTGTTCTCTTGAAAGCCGCTATCACCTCTTAATGTGCAAGACTGGGGCAGGCTCTAAGAGCATGCAGCACCCTGCTGTGATTAAGTTTCCAGAAATCAGAAGCCATTTCTTTAGATGTGGCATTTTTATCACTGAGTAGGCCCCATGGTGGTGAAGAAATGGCATAGGATAGTTTGGCACTATTCTAAACCTAAGTTTGGCACTGATACCAGATCCACATATCCAGCTGGTAAGTTAAACTTCTCTAAAACAAAGAGGGACAGCATTGGATCAAGGAAGCTGAAACATGAGCTGAGTGGAGTGATGATGCAGGATATAAAGGTAACGTTGGGTAAAGTGATAAGTTTCCAGCATGAGTGCTTCCCTGTTATTTAAGACTTTAAAAGCAACATCTACCAATCAAGAAGGGTTTATTCCAAATGTATCATCTAATTTGTACAGTTTTCTCATATTTAGCATTCTAGCATTTTTAGGGACTTTGGAATCTGCTGTAGACCAGATAAATCCTTTATTTAAAAAAAGGGGGGGGTCTTTGTTTTTTGCTGGATTTCTTTAATTTTGTTAAACCCAGACTACTGGCTGTTTGCATTTGGGTCCCCAAATATGTCCTGTGGACAGAGTGGCTCCTGGTTCAGACTGGGTGCCCTGTCAGGTCTTAAAATGGCAATACCAGACCAGGTCCCTGTGCCCCAGAAACTAACATAGGATTTTCTAATTGATCCCTACAGGAGGGGGAGCCAGTCCTCCCGCTTCCTGAGCCCCAGTGTCAGGAACTGGGGCTGGCTATGTAGAAACGGGAGGCAGTGGATGGAGTGGATACATTGGTATCGTGGCCAGGGAGGCTGGGACAGCCAGCTCAGCCGGAGGACTTAAGGTTTGAAGGAACATCTCCTCACTCGCATTCCTTTCTTTTTAATTTTCCCTGATGTAATAGCACAAATACTTACACATAGGGCATTTCATCATTTTTCCTGCTTTTTCACAGAATATCTGAAATTGCAGGATTGTATAGATCCACTCAAAGGCCCCCATTCCTCAGCACTTTATTGTGAAAGTATAAATAGCTCCTGATCCTCCCTAACCATTGTGCCTGGACATCAACCAGCCGGGCTGAACTTGGGGCTGGGGCTTTTCGTGATTTTTAGGAACCAAGTGAAACCTTTATAGTCTCCCCAGGAATGTCCCACGCTCCGACAAGAACAGGTAGGTTTCTTTTTTCTGTTCTGTTCTTCAGTTTAACAACAGTAAAAGTGTTAAGTATCATAAAACTGACTTGGTTATAGATGGAGAAATGGTACCAAAACAAAGTGAAACAAGAAACCCAAAGGACAAACAGAAAACCCTAAATAAATGCTCAGGTTTGGCCTTGGGGTTTTACATACACCAACGACACAGGAGACCACAAATGACGTACTTAACACAGCAAGGGTGGCAGTATACGGAGATAACCCGGCATAAACTGCTTGTGGGGATCCACACAGGTACTCCGGCCACACATCGCTCATCTTTCTCTCAGGCATGAGTGCACAGCTGTAATCACATTACTTATCCAAAATATGCCTCAGAGAACCTTCCTTAGGGATAGTTGACACGTCCCCCCCCCCTTTATTTTTTAAAGATAGGAATACAAGACAAACGAAACACAAACGATGCACACAAATGCACCAGCTCACAAGTTGGGTAAAAGTCCAACAACTCTTTCCTCTCGCCAACAGGGTACCCCTCTAAAACAGACTGGTTTATTCCAGAGAAAGCCCCAAATGGAGAGGAATAAAGTTTCTGGCTGTACACACCAGAGCGACTTACCCTACTGTATGTATGGAGCCCATTGGCCCCCGGATGTCGATTCCTTGCTCCAACTGCCACGCGCTAGGGCAGTGGTGCTGCTTCGGGAAGTTTTGAAGGGAGGAGCCTCAGGACAGGTGAAAACTCCCCAGGTGGGGCTGGCTGGTCACAAGCAGCAAGGCTCCTGCCTGGCTTTGACAAGATTTGTTACCGAGTCCAAACTTGTTCTGCTTGGTTTTTATGTGCACGTTAGTATACTATCCACACTGTTCTGTGCCTTAATGCTTCTGATTTTATATATGTTAGAAACTTTCCACATAGATATGCTACATTTTATAAAAGCTGCATGATGTTCCATTGTATGGATATACTATAATTGATTGCAGCAGGCCCTGTTGATATTAAAAGCAATGTTTCAGTGAATAAGCTTCCTCTTACATCTTTGTAGACAAGTGAAGATTTCCATTGCATAAATATCTAAATGTGGAATTACATAAAGAAAAGGTATAATTGTCACAGATGTCCCTAGGTAGCCCTCCAAAAAGGGTGTGCCAACTTACAGTTCCATCTATAGTATATGAAAATGCCTAATTCTAGGTCTTACTTTTTAACAGTTATTGGCTATAATTTATAAACAACAAAATTCACTCTTTAGGAATACAGTTTGATAAATCTTCTAGTTATAACTTCCATTATAATCAAAATTTAGAACTGTTCCACCACCTTCAAAAGCTCCCATATTACCATCTGAAGCGAATCCAGACCCCTTATCCTTGTCTCCAGGCAACCACTGATCTGTTTTCTGTCACTATTAGTTTTGCCTTTTTTAGAATTTCATATAAGTAGACTTTTGAGTTCTTTCATTTAGCAAAATGTTTTTTAGTTACATCAACACATTACTGACAGATATTTCATAGCATGGTTAAAAGATAATTTGTCGATCTGTTCACAATTTGATGGACAACTTGGGCTGTTTCCAGATTTTGATTATGAATAATATTGCTATGAATATTCATACAAGTTGTATGTACATCTTATTTTCTTTTGTGTTGTCTTACACAAGAATGGGATTGCTAAATTACGTGATAAGTGACTTAAAATATACTGCTTTAAATTTCCCAAATCAGCCATGCCATTTTGCAATCCTATCAACAATGTATGAGAATTCCAGTTGCTCCACATTCTCTCCCATACTTGGTAAATAAAGCCATGCTTCTTTTTTTAATTTAACCATTCTAACGTGTGTTCATGGTTTTAATCACATGTCCCTGATGACCAGTGATGCTAAGCATCTTTCAGGTGTTTACTTGTGAAGTACTTCTGCAAATGTTTGATCCATTTTTTAATTTACTTGTTTTCCTATCATTTCATGCTACCGACACATATGAGGAAAGAGGCATGAGAAAATGGATTTGGAGAAGAAAGCAAGGCTTGTATCTGATTATTATTATTACACAGACATAGGAAAGATGCATTAAGAGATCTCAAGCTTTCCTTTAAACAGTGGTTCTACAATGTCTTGGGTAGATTAGAAACCTACCAGTGCCTTTGTCCCACCAAAATCCAATTAATCAGAATGGATAGTGGTGAGGTAGCCTCAGTAGTTATTAAATCACTTCAGATGATCCTGTTGTGTACTTAGGATTCATCAAACTTTTCAAAAGGATTAAAGCCAAGTGGGCTTTAAATTCCATTATGAATATTTAATTCAAAGTTAAGAAAATACGTTACATTTTGATTAAAATATAGAATGAAATATGCTACTCTTGAAATAAGATTGTTAAAAACAATGACAAAGGAGAAGATAAAGTAAACTTACATGCTTATTTCTTTTTGTCCTAATCTGAACAAATATCTTCTTTTAAACATGGTGTTAAGTTAGTAAACCTTGATATTTTAATTAAGAATACTATCCTGTCAAAAAGTATAATTAAATGGAATATGTACCAATCACTCTACTTACTAATTAAATTTAGTTGTTTGGATCATGAAGCTCAAGATAGTCATTTTAATTACTAATATTAAATATGTGCCCATTAATGGGAGTTAAAGTAAGATGAATTTCACCTCATTGTAAAGTGAGAAGAACATTCTAAAGATATGGCTCGCAACAGCTAGTATATAATATCTAGCATCTCTCTTCCTAGCAGTGTGCCTGGGGCATACACAATAATCAATACTTACTGTAGGTTAGTAAATGGACACTTTAGGAAAAGCAGAGTCCCCACCACTACAGTGTGTTTAAGCAGAAACTAGACGACCGTCTGCCAAAGATACTACTGAAAAGATTTCTAAGGAAGGGGTTAGAAACTTGGTGAAGATGAATTATAAAGTCCCTTTGACCTCTAAAATGATTTGGTCCTGCATCTTCAATATATTGAGAGTTGCACTTCACAATACCGTGCTGATCTTTCACCTGCTGTGGGAGAATAATGCAATTTTAACAGAAAAGCTTTCTGACCCAATTTATTTTTCATATTTCAAGAACTCTTATTCATTTTTTCTTAGGGTAGGCAGAAGTGTGTGGAGACATGCAGACTGTGAAAATTGAATTGGTGATGCAAGACTGGAAGTGAAGTTAGCTTCATTGCAAAAATTCAATATGGAAAGGGTAACCAAATGAGAGCACTGCCCCAAACAGTAAGAATAGTTACACGAAGTGAAGGGAAAGAGAACAGAGAACAGGTGAAATTAATTGTGGCATCCAAGGGGACAAACCTGCTATACTCCTCTCTACTAAGAGTTACGTGAGATATCAAAACAAGAACTGAAGATTAATGTTTGAAAGCTTGGTTATTTGTTATTGGCAGTTTTCCAGGAGCACCTAGTCTAGCTATATTATGCCCGCACTTGCAAAAACATACACTGACAGATAGTGGCAGCTCACCGAGTATCGGCAAAGGCCAAAGACTTGGAAGGAGAGGAAGGTAGTTCAGATCCCAACACCTAGATCACATTTTCGGCTAGTCCGGTGGAAACAGACACGTCCCCTTCATCACGCCTGCGTATCTTCCCCAGTAAATTCTCCCTAGCATCCTCTTCCTCACATTACTCTATCCTGAGTCAGGCTCTCATGTGTGTTTGATTGACAGAGCCTGCCTGGTTCTGGTATTAGATTGGTCACCTATGTGGTTGTAACAAAGAACAACAAATCTGACTCTGTATTAGGTCTGTTCCTTTGGCTTTAACCCTGTGCTCTGTTTCCTGTGCTTAGTCATGCTGATTCTGCACCTTTTGCAAAAGAATGCTGCCTATAGCCCAAAACAGACAGGACAGCCCATTCTCAAGTCTCTGACCTTTAAGGATATAGCACTTTTCCATTCATATAGCGATAAAAAGTTGCAGAACACAGAATAACATTTCTCTTGCTGGAGATTTGCAAGAACATCATGACCTGACCTAGATGGACAACTGCAAGAACGAAGGATTCTGACCCCAAGAAGTTTCCAACCACCAGCCACACCCCCTACCTTTTTAGTATAAAAGGAGCCTGAATTCTGACTTGGGGAAGATAGTTCTCTAGGACATTAGTAGTCCCTCATCTTCTTGGTCTGCTGGATTTCTGAATAAAGTCGCTATTCCTTGTCCCAACACCATGCCTCTTGATTTATTGGCCTGTCGTGCAGTGAGCAGAATGAGTTTGGATTCAGTCATAGGGTTCTAATTGAAAAGTTAGGAAAAAAAAAAAGCTCGAGCAGGCTGGATCTCTAATGTACTAAGTTCCCCTAATACAAAAATTATTCAAAAGATGCTCAGTAGTAATAAATACATAAATAACCCCTGGGATATCAAAACAGACTTTAGATAGAAATATAGATGCTTGTAAAACTCTTATCACAAACTCGTTACTTAGCAATTTCACACTAACCAGTTAACGGCTGAGGGAGAATTCCCAATCAAGGAAGAAAGTAATACCATCTTTGACAGAATTCTTCAGGAAGGCAAGTGAGTGCCAGCAGGAAATACAGAAATTTTTTCACAGTAATTTTTTTTTGGCCACTTAAATATCGAGCATCCTATTTAACGTTTAACCCCTTCTTAATACAATGCACTCAGCAGAGACTTTAAGTTCGATACTAGAAAACGCGACTTGACTTCTGTAACGGAATTCTGTGGGAAGAAGGTATACACCCGAGAGGCGTTTGCTTTACAGAACATGCTTTCTGGAATTTGAGGTTTGTCGCAAAACAGAAGCCATTTTCAGCACCTATCCAGGTGGGCCACACATCTCCTTCCTACCTGCCAACAGCATTCCATAAAGGAAGCTGGGCTAAGGGCTCTTCTCACCTCCCCTGCCAGCTGACAAGGCACTGAACATGCTCTACTCAGCAGCAGGAACTAAAATCCTTGTCAAAATTACGCTGTTCTGGAGACAAGGCGAGGTGACTTCCACGGTGTCACCTTCCAAAAGCTGCAGCGTGAGGACAGCTGATCTGTTGTGCTAAAGGATGCATGGTCCACCTGACGTGGCAGCTGCCCCAAAAGACCATCATCTCCCACTAATCCCTGGGTGTATGGGTCCTCCAGCTTGCTGCTCCCTCCATATCACTGACACAGCATTGCCAATTGTCACATGGCATCTGAGCTGGCACTCTACTGGGGTAGCTCCTAAATACGGTAGGAACTAGAGGATGAGAAAAAATTCAGTGCTGGCAGCAGCAAGGGAACAAAGGAAATGTACATTTGGAAAATGTCTGATTTAAACATCACCACCACCAATTTGACTTCATGATTAATTAATATTTGCTTATAACCTTTTATCTTTTACTGCCCCCATTTTAGAACAGGTGCTTTTCACTGATGCTTGATACTTGCCACGAAAAATTCTCAAAAAGCACTCTGAAGAATTTTGTTTTAATTGTCATTTTTTTTTAACAAGATTTTATCCGTCTTATGAATGTGTCAGCAAAGCAGAGCAGAGTCAGCATGAGCTTAGGTTAGCGGGAGAGAAAATATTTTTGTCTTTATTCTATTTAGACAGCCAAAGCCTTGGGTTTGATATGTGCAGAACAGATAAACAAGGTCCTACTGTACAGCACAGGGAACTATATTACCTTGTAATAACCTATAAAGAAAAATATGAGAAATATGTATTATATGTATAACTGAATCACTATGCTGTACACCAGAAACTAATACAACATTGTAACTTGGCTATACTTCAATAAAACAAAATAAAAACAAAAACAAAATAAACAAAGCTTTCGGTTTGAAACTTGGCTCTGCTGATTTTTTTTTTGCTCTGTATTTTTTTGTGTACACTTTACCTCTCTGAGCCTCCGTATCCTCAACTATATAATGGAGACAAAAAACAGAGTCAAACAACAAGAAAAAGAAACCAGTCCACAGGGCTACAGTCAGTATTAAATAAGGAAATACCTGTAAAAGTACCACTAGCAGTGCTTGAAACATTGTAACAATTTAGCATCTGTCAGCTAGACCTAGATGTGGTTCATTATGAATTTTCATACACAGCAAACATAATATGTGTTAAAATTAGAAAATCTGGTCAAATAATATATGTACTCTTCATGTAAATAGAAAGTATATTTAAGATTTTCCAATTCCCATCTTGCACTTCCTGTTTGAAAATCAGTGAAACTCCATGGCCATTATCTTTTTTTTTACCACATCCACTGGTCCTTCGCCATAGAATGCGTAGTAGAAATGAATTTAAACAAATTGTGATTTCAACCACATTCAAAAGAGTCTTCATGAAGGAATTATTTTAAATATAGATGACAAAAACATTCTGAGAAGAACACATATCTCTTTTTAAGTAAGTGTGCTTTAAATTATTTTTTAAATATATGTGATGTGTAGTTATGTAATTTGTTTTACTATTCTTGAGCTGGCAATACAATGAAGAGCTGCATAAAACTGTACTCATCAAAGAGCAAAATAAGCTTGACTTTCATTACGGAGGAAGACAATCATTTCTGAGAGGTTTCAGTCTGATTTCTGACAGTTTGAAGCTTCTCGTAATAACTAGAAACTGCTTGTTGAAATACGGAATTTATAATTGATTACAATGTTTGCCAAATAAAAATCTAAGTGCCTAAATGAATGGCTTTCTTCTGACTAATTTTTGTCCTTTGCCAGATCAGATACAAAAATGTGGGCTTGAATCCCTGATGAGATGAAATGACCCCAGTCACTCAACCAAGACAGAGAAGACATGCTGCTGGCTGAAATCCAATTAGGGAATTACATTTCTTTCAACGTATAATACTCATGTTATTTCAATTAAATATCACATTTTTCATTTCCCTGCACGTTTTTACCTTCTCCTTCCATTCTCATTTCACCTTGGCTTCATGAAAATGAAATAGCTACTGATTTATTCAGGGAGACTGGCAACATCATGTGAGCTGTAAGAGAAGCTTACGAATAGACTCCATAGCTGGAGTATTGAGTGACTATTCAAAAGGTAAGTAAAAATAAGACGCAGGAACTCTAAGATGCTGAGAGAAATTACAAGTCCAGCTCTTAAGTCAAAACGGGTTTAGGCTGAAGGAAGCCCATGATACAGTCTAGGCCGGTGGTCAGCAGACCTTTCTGTAAAGGGCCAAACTGTAAACATTTTAGGCTTGTGAGCCACATGGTCATTTTCACAACAATTTAATTATGCCTTAGCAGACAGAAAGCAGACATGGGCAATAGGTGGACAAACAGATGTGGTCGTGTCCCACTAAAATATTTATAAAACCAGGTGGTGGGCCAGATTTGGCTTGCAAGTCATTTCTGGACCCATCTAATCTAATCTCTTTATTTTAGAGAAGAGGAGAATCAGGTTCAGAGATGTTAAATGACACACGTAACCCAAGTCCCTAAAAACTTCGTCTCAGAGCTCAAACTGCAGGCAAAGTTCCAGATATCCTAACTTGCTGTTTATTCTAGTGCATCATTGTTACATAAATGAGGAAAAATTTGGTCTCTGTGTATTGGCGCCTACAATATTTCTTCCCTGCAGACCGAGACCTTCCAGCTCAAAAGCCTGCTAGCGGCAGACTCAAATATTTGCACATCTAATTATTTTAAAACTAGACCAGACAAGCGAATGTTTAGCCACGTAGAGCCTTCTTGCTTTGAATACCCCATGAATCCTCATCCAACAGCTGTTATCTACTGATTAAATGGGGCCTTGCAGTTGTAAGGGTCCTGTTTTTCAGCTCTCTGACCAAAGACTCCCCTCCTAGGAGGCTTAGCAACTTTACCTGGAGGTCTAAGCTCCCTCTCAGTTTGCCCCCTTCCCTGGGAGTTGTCTTATCTCTGTCCCCTTCTGAGTAGCAGACCCCTGAGCTACTGCCTCTGGACAGACTTGTTCTATGAGAGGCTTCTCCCCCACGCAAACCTATCAAGGCATCGCCAGTCAAAGCTGGGCGCACTACTGCCTGCCATGGTCGTAACCTTTTCCTGGACCAGCACACAAATTCCCCACCCTCCTGTAATCATGATTCATGAAAAGCAAGCAAAAGAGAAAATAATACTTAAGTCATCTTTAAACAGTATTTTTTTTCATTTACAAAATAAATGTTTCATGAAAGGCAATTACTTCTGTGAAGTATGTTTCTCAGAAATCCCTTTGCTATAAAATGGTTCAACCATTAGGATTATGTTCATATGTGCAACCCCTCTTACTCCCTTCCTCTGTTTCTGTGGAAGATGCCAGAAAATATTAAGGGGATTGAGAAGTAATAAACTTCTGCAGAGAGAAACTTTTTCTTAAGAGTCTGTGTCCACTATGCATAGTGGAATGGTTATAAATTTTCTGGGATAGGGTGATGGAAATAGTAAGAGACTTTAGCCACTCCCTGTGTATGTGGATGCCCTTTCAAAGAGTATGTCCACAGTATAATGAAAACTATGTGGCACAAATAAAATAGCAAGCTCTCCACTGATATATTCAAATGCCAACTTGAAAATCCCAAGGACGAGTTTCAAACATTCTAATTACCCTTTTCTGTGGACAGGCTCATTTAAAAATGTATCATGATACTAGAATAATATGGTAGATGAAGATCCGTGGTCAGGAAACATTCACTTCCCGTGACCAGCACCTGTGTGGGAAGACTACACTTCCCAGCATGCTGGATCAGGGCTTTGGCCATACGACTGACTCTGGCCAGCAGGATGTTAGCACACATGATGTAAGCGGAGGCCTTGAAATGTCTGCACAGTTGGGCCACATATGAGGAAACATAGAAGGCTGGAAACGAGTGACTCACATGGTGGTGAAACACTTTGTCAAAGTATTGCCTAAAATAACGTGAAAACAGGAGATTTACCCAATCAGTTGGTGAAACTAAATGATGAGATTTTGAAAGAGAATGTTGGAAGTGTGAAGTCTGAGCTGGCTCCTGCTGGTTGCATTTGTTACAGTGATGCAAGAAAATCATGAGCTTACAGTGAGACTGGCTGGTTTACAAAGTAATTTAGAAGGAAATTAAAGGTAAATTTCAGAGTCAGTTTTTCACCACATCAAAGGTGGGCCATTTAAATGCAG